TCCGGTGGCACATCGCCGGGAGCGGCGGCCGCCTGGTCGGCCTAACAGGGTGCAGATAAGTCTGAAACGGTGCGCTCTGGACCGGGGAAGTGCGACATGGTTTACAGTGACAACGAGCCGGCCCAGAGGGCACTGACAGACCGCTTTCCCCGACCTCTGACGACGCGCGACGCGTAGGCGTACGCCGATGAGTCGTCGCGCTGTTCGAGCCAAACCCGACGTCCGGTGATGCGAGACCGAGCGGCGGGCATGCGGCGTCACAGCCATCATGAGCCGTCGACGGCGCCGAAATGCTCGAGCACGCGCACGCAGTGGCAGGCGGATGGCCCAACTGCGCATCCGTTGGGGCACGCACGGTGTGCTCCACCCGCGGTGAGCCAGGTGTGCGGCCCTCGGGACCCCAGGACATCGCCACAGCATCACGCACGTCCAGCCGTGCATTCCCAGGAGCCCGAACCCCCGCAGGACACATCGAGGATGATGTCAATAGGCGCCGGCAGTCCACGAGGCCCTGAGCAGCAGGCACTGGTGTGCAGGGGAAACTGATGGCGTGGAGTGTCACAGTGGGCTCTGGATCCACAGTGCGAGTGGTGCCGCGGGCCTCCACAGGCGCCGGGACAGGCGGGGAGTCTGCAGGAAGGTCAGCTGGCCCAGCCGAGGTCGTCATGGAGTCTGGTGGGGCCACGGTGTCCCGTGCCGTCGCTTTTGTGGAAAACGTGCAGGTGGCAGGTACGTGTGATGAAGCTCCGCACGGGGGCTCTGAGGGAATGTACCTCTCGAAGGGAAGGTCAGTCGCAGTGGGGGAGTCTTCTACCTCGCGGTCGTGATCAGGTGCAGGAGTGGATGTTTCTGCGACTGGATCAGGTGTAGAAGTAGTCGAAGCCGGGGTACCAAGAAATCGGTCAATGGAGGGCTGCGGACCGGTTCGTACCTTGCTCTGCGACGCCGGGGAAACCTGCCTGGTGCGGGTAAACGGAAGCGGACGGTATGTGTTGCCGCTGCGGGCGAGCACCGCAGTGCAGAGGGCATCGTAAGGCTGCGGGCTGGTGCTTGAAGTGGCAGCGAGATGGCGCAACTCTACCGGAAGGGCGTCGAGAAGAATGGCGTGCATCAGCAGCTGGTCCGTGATGCCATTCACCGCAAGAACGGCGTCGAGCTGCATAAACCATACCTTGGGGTAGGTCGATTGGAACGGCGGCACTGGCGGGCAGAGTTTCGGGAACATGGCAGCGGCCGTTCGGCGAAGGGCGTGTTCTCCGGGTCACCAATGTAGCGGTGAGAGAAGAGAGACGTGAGATGACGTCGAAGGCGGCCGATGGGGCCGTGCTGATCTCGCCACGTTATTCCAGGCCTGAAGCGGAGCCGCGGTGGCTGTCCACGTCCGACGCGCCAGGTGCGTGAGCTCGTTCTCCTCCTCGCGCAGCTCGAGCTAGCATCAGCTGCGCGAGAGGCGCGGCGCGGTGATCAAGAAATGATGATGGTGATCATGCACTACAATGTTATTGTGCATTACTCACACTCTGCTGTTTTTTGGGATTTTACTACTGTCTTGTTCACATTGCTAGAAATCCCCCGTTAACAACTGTGATATCACTGTCTGGCTGTGTTCACATATGCAGAAATAAATTTTTTAACTGGTTTGTGACTGTATCTCATGTTTGCCAAGGAAATCTCAATGTCATGTGTGTATGTATGTCCATTGTATCATTGTACACTTACTGTTCTCTTTAGTAGCCTTATATACTTGCTGAGTTTCATATAACTTGCAGTTTTCTTCACCCTAATGCATATGTTGTATTTATTTTCATGTTGTTTTGTCTCTCGAGAAAATAAATGTTTTGCTAGACCTTGATTGCATGAGTCATAAAAATAATAGTTGCCGATACATTTACGTGCATGAAGACTTCACGGAGAACACTGCGGCATCAAATTTGAAAACTGTACGGACTTTGTTGTAGTGTCAAGCTCACCGCAAGTCACTTGATTCTTTATATTCTAAGCTTCATAGCTGATATACTACGAAGTGAATTGAAAACACTAGTTTTTAGTGCCAATACACGCTTTTCAGCGCACCGCCACCATTGTGACAGGTAGACTTTGTTACTATCCACAGGGTAGCATAAAATATTTGCAACAAAAAACGACTGATACGTGCGAGGAGGGGAATCTCGAAAACGACCGTAGCGCCGCCGCATCCGGATGAATTCTCGCACGCTCTCCGGCGCGCCGATGCTGACACCTCTCCTTCTAGCCACCATATCCCGGCGGCGAGGCTGCCTACGTCACTCCTCGAAGAGCCAATGAATGCCAGTGAGCGATAACCCTGAGCGATTGGGGAGCATTCACCGAGGCAAAAGCAATGCGCGGAAGCATTTCCGGAAGAACCAAGAGAGCATAATCATAGAATTGGCCCCACTTTGCTCAGGTTTCCTTCGTCCGGTGATCACCGGAGGACAACGGTCGAAAACAAATGTATTTGCTCCGGTAGAATTTGGTGTGAGGGAGGTCACCAGAGCACAGCGGGCGCATCCTTCCCCGATTCCTCCCAGCTTGGTATATTTTGGTTGACAGTGTGGTTATATGAAGGACGACATTAACATGAGTGCGGCGGTGTCGTGGTGTCGCAAAGCGGCTATGCGCGCAATCATAAACGTCTATGGTGATGAAGAAGGAGCTCCTCTTGACAGAACTTTAAGTAGACCCACTGCTGCTTCGCATACTACTCACGGTCATCGTTCTCGGGAGATGTTTGCGATTTTTTGTGATTTTTTTGCTTTCACATGTATGAGTCGTGTTGTAACCGCAATAAAGCTCTACCTAATTGTCCAGTGCTACATCTTACCAGATGAGGTCATCTGTCATGCTCCGCAGATTTCTTATTTATCTTGGTTGGGATAATCAGTTGTGAGTATCCCTTCCTGAAACAGGCTCTTTAGTTTGGTGAAAATCTAGTGTTTGTTTATGGTCAAGATAAACACTCGAAACTAACAAATAGAGCTAACAGGACCCTTTGTCAAGTCAAACAGAAAACCAGGAAAGTAATAAACTGATCATAAACGAAACCAATTAGCCTAATAGCTTCTGCGGGCACTGAAACAAGTTCGCTAACCCAAACTATGTGTTCTCACATTACGCCCCTCATTACAGGAGACAAACCAATCCAATGATAAGAACACCAATGTCGGGGCGCCCTAGTATGCTATTCAGAGAGACCCGAGGGTGTTGATTGGGTTTGGCCTGACTGTCTCCTCATGGGAATGGCCCGCGGCACGTTTCATCGTGAGCACCTGTTTAACAATAAAGTTCTGCAATCAACCAATTCGAATTTGCAATGCGATAATCCCGGTTCAACAAAATTGGAATTTGTAGCCGAAGCTGTGCAGGCAGTCACGCTGCAGTAAAATTTACCAACAACCGTGACTTTCTGCAGGTTTATTCATCAACAAAAATTATGCAGTTTGCTTTTAAATTCTGAAATGTGCCAGGGTATGTGTAAACCGCACTGGCACTGACATCATTCCATGAGGTGCCACAGCTTAGGTTCTCTCGCTTAGATACGATGTGCTCTCGCTGAGAATGAGAATAATATTATAACAAAAAGTATGATAATAACGCAATAGCATTAAAGAGCTCGTTGTGAAAAGTTCTGATGTCGGCGTCACCGCCGTTGGTTGCAACGAAAAACGCACCTTTGTCCGTGAGTGATTGTTAAAGGCAGTTGGAACTGAAGAAATAATAAAAACTTCGCTTCGAGTGGAAATATAACTGAGGTATTATGTGAGGGCATACCAAAAATTTTGATCGGGTATATATATTTTGGCGCTGTCGCCAAAAACGTTGCGAAAACTGACTTGATTTGTTTTTGTTCAGTGACTCTGGTGAATTAAAACATTGCAGTTCATTTTGGCTGTTCTAACATGTTAGTTCTGGCGATTCTTAGGCTTTCTCTTGGCTCAACGTGATTACGACGTATGGGCTATGAACACTCGGGATATTCTGTACCGCTCTCAACACCAGAGTCTAAGCCAGAGCGATGACCGATATTGGCAATGGAGGTAAGAAATACGCAGGGTAGCTACTCGTCATTTAACATTTTTTACGTTATAGCCTTAAAAAGTTCATATCCCAGAAATTTTGGTGTCGGTGTTGGCGTTGATGTCAGTGTCGGCGTCATTGATTTGGAGTGAAAAATAATCCTACTGTCCCTGGCCTACAAATCGAGAAGTATACAAATAAAATAGTAAAAAAAATCTCAGGTTTGAATGAAAATCAAACCCAGACAGCATGCATGGCAAACAGGTGTTTTAAAAGAGAGGTAGCTATTTAGAAAGATTTAAAAAAATAATGTGTGAATATCACGTAGGAGAAGGAGTCTCGTTAACGCATGCGTTATTGCATGGTCGAAGCTGTGAATTGCACTAGGTGTAAAAAAAATGAATTGTGGAAAAAGTCAGTGTTTCAGAAGCCATCTAATTACAACACACAAATACATATTTAATCCTCATAAGCAGCACGAACAGCAACAAGCTAAACGGTTCAGCGGGTTTGCATGTTGCTCAATCAGAAAAGGAAGACTTATTGAATAGAAGGACTTACCTGCAGTCAAAGCAGTCATCTAGGATACTTTAGAAAAGAAGCGCTCTAAAGAAACCTTCTTTTCTAGGAGGTAAAGTGTAGTGACTTGGATTAGAAGAAAAATAAAGACGTGATTTTTTGAATGGTCATGATTTAGAAATAATACAAATTTGAAATGCTACTACACCAACTGCTTAGACGAGGCAATGTCAATTTTCATAGCATTCTACATTACTCTCATACAATCGGAGGTAATGAACAGGAGACATCAAACACGGTTTCTCATAAAACTGACAGAATATTGTATTACAAAAATGTCACTAAATGATAAAGTTTGTTCTTATGGTCGACATGGCTCATTTGTGTGTTTTCATGTCTCTATATGCTTGGCATTTTTCTTTCATTTGCGCCCTACTGTCAGCTTCGAAGAAATCGGCCGCTACGATATCGCTGCCGTCGTCGACCTTGTACTGAGTGTCACCGGTTCCACCAAAGTTACCCTTCTCGTGTATTCCCAAGGAATGACTGCGAGCGTGGTTCTGCTTTCTACGAGGCCTGAGTACAACGAGAAGGTCAGTTGTAATTAGCGTAGTGGTAACACAGTGGTAGTTCAGTAGTAATAGTGTAAAGTTTTGGCCTTGTAATCTGTTTTTGAGGTTCAAAATCTACAGCGCAGCATGAATTGCAAAATGTCCGTTTCAGAGAAAACGGCAAACACATCCTGCCACTAATGTTTAGCACTTTCGGCCCTGGCGTCCTATAAAAAAAGAAAGGAAAAATTTTTGCTGCCAAATGTGGCAGAATTGTATCAGAAATTTAGTAAGGTGTCTGAACTACTCCTAATATATCTGCGCAAGCATAGGTAGTAATGTTTTCATTGTCGCCTTCTTTGGAACACTGCAAAGAGAAAACAAAATGACAGATTGGGAGAACGAGTACACTTGCCGCAACCTATTATATGACACCTCACTGGTCAACTAATACTTCAGTAACTATTGTATTTTAATCATGCTTTTTCTAAGATGTTTAACTTGCTATTTACGAAGTGGGTCTTTCCTAACACTACCGTATCGCCCACAGCAGTCGACAATCTTCATGCTCTAAACATAGGCCACCATGGCTAAGTGATTGCTAGTCATCCGATTGCATTCATGAAATGCTGATGTGTAGCTCTTGTATAACTCTGGATTTGTTTTTATTGTAAAAAAAACCTGCCCAAAACATTTTGATTCTATGTAGGTGTTCTAATAGCGAGATAGTGCGTAATGAATTTGAATTAGTTTTATGAAGTATAATAGTGGTGCGTGATAATACTACCGAATCATGACAATGTTGTGCAGTCCATGGTTTTGTTTCTTGCCCGCAATTTTACTGTTGTACACAAAGACAAATTATACAACACTTTATCACAGAATGCCACACGTATCAAAATTCAAGACAAGACTTTTTGACACCAGCTTTCTGAAAAGATGGGCTCGAGCTGTCTGAAATGGTGTTACTTCTCCGAGGAGCATGGGCACTGGGTCATTGCAACGGGGATATACGGAGTGGATATATCTATATAAAAGAATCCAAAAGACTACTACGCTAATATCACAAGTACATGGTTATTACTTACTTTCGTCATGAGTCTATTTCATGTATTTTTAAAGATAACTTTCATTTTTATTTCTTTTTGCCTTGTACACATATAGTAGACTTTTAGCATAGCTAATCTTTTCTTTTACCTAAAAAGCCTTTTCAATCATTCCCGCGCCCACTTTTTTCCAAAAACCCACTGCCACGTGATTCATGGCCAATCTCCCGTGCCATTCTTTTCGGGTCCAACCAACCAAGCTTGCAAACGTACGCGGAATTGATCGTACCACTGCAAAGCAGGATTCGGCAGTCTTTTATGATTTCAGATTTTCAGAAGTTTTCCTTAATTAGACAGTAGCCATTCAAGTGGAATGAGAAGCTGTACATCACGACTGTAGAATCTTCCTTTGCCCAGCTTAGGTGCTGTACCTATCATGTGGTTGCTGTATGTGAGTTTCACAATGGTAACCTGCACTAAAAGGGTAAAAATGAATAGATTTGTTTTAAAACATTGCATTTCACTTTAGGCCTGAGTGTGATATATATTGAACATGCAGCGATTCTCTTTTTATATTGATGGGATGCTCAGAAAAAAATATTTTCGTGCTCTTGAGGGTGTAGTGTCGATTAAAAGCAAAATTTTCCGGCGGTTCAAAAATATTCAGAGCTGAAAAGGTTAGGGCACATAGATTCCACAGAAATTACGTGGTTATAGCCACAATTTCGGTTGAGCAGTCTGATAACATTATTTGTTTTGTTGTTTTATTTGCTATTAGAGCGTAGCGCTTATGACCTAGCTAGTGATGGTATAGGTTGCAATATCAAGTACAGGCTAAAGTAAACGAAACAGGCCTGCTATTCTGAAGTTTACTTTGTCGTAGACATGAAACTATCATCTACGCGGACCGGCATGCTATCGCTTGTTTGTTCCCTGTGAACACTGGCACATATTCTAAGGGATTGGCCGAGAAATCTTGTAGAAGCCCATATGTGAACGCCATACATTGATTGTGAGCCTATTTCTAAAGGGAACAAAGAATAAAATAATAGCAAACTGTTTTCGAAAAAAATCATAATATAATAAAGATGAATCAATAAATGAAAAAGATAGCTTATACTATATAAGAAGACTGAAGTTTAGAGTAGACCTGCCAGTTCGGTTTACCTCATCCGATTAAAACCAAATCAACATCATCATCAGCCTGTCTACTCACACTGCAGGGCAAAGGCCATTGATGCGCTAATAAACAAGGTCTTCTGATTTTCTTTGGCACGTTATTGCTGTGAACTTTTTTATTTTCATCGGCCCCCGTAACTTTCTGTCTACCCTTCTTGCGTTTTCCATCTCTGGGAATCCATTCAGTTACCCTTAAGGACCAGCTTTATCCTGCATACGTGCCCAGCCCATGTTTTATTCTTCTTGGTGTGAACCATGACGACCTTAAAACCGGTTTCATCTCTGACCCACACTAACGCTCTTTGTAAGCCTCCAGGTTTCTCCTTCGTAGGTTAGTACTGGCAAAATCCAGCTTTTATATAACTTACTCCTCAGGGTTAATGGTAGATTACCATTCAATGTTTCAGAATGCTTGCTGAACATAATTCACCTCATCCTTATTCTTTCAGTTATTTCACTCTCATGATTCGTCTCCGCGGTTACTACCTTTCCTAAGTAGACATACTCATTTACAACTTCTAGCGTATTTCCATTTGCTGCAAAGTGCTGTTTTCTGCTTAAACGCCTGCACATAACTGTAATTTTGTGCATATTATTTTAAGACCTACATTTCTTCTTTCCGTGTCCAGTTTTGTAATAATGAGCTGTGATTCGTCTCCTGAGTTACTTATTATGGAAATGTCATCAGCGAATCGCAGCTTACTCTTATTCCACTTGTCCCAATCTAGGGTCCTGTAAGCCTCTTGTAAACACGCGGTGAATCTCTTCGGAGAGATTGTGTCTCCCTGCCTCCCACTTTTTAAAGTGATTCGGTCACTTTGTTTGTGAAGAACAATGGTGACTGTAGTTCTACTGTAGATTTCTTCCAGTATGCTTGTGTAAGACTCTTCGATGTCCTAATCTCACAGTCCCTGCGTGTTGTCATCGCCGGGCGTGCTTCAAATACTGGAGACCTTGTAATAAAAGAATAAGTTACTCTCACATAATAAAGCAGATGTAGCAAAAGCTTACTCAAAAACCACACAGGCTACAAACGCCACATAGGCCAAACTGCACGAGAGTCTCTAAGTCACGTCGTCATTTTTCTTCACTAGCTGCCTCAGGCCGCGTGCGTTTCTAACATTCAGCCACCCTGAAGCGACTTAATATCATTGTTAAGGCTGCCCAGTAAACGTTACTCACTGATTCCACACAAAAATGTTAATACATCCTATTCAACTGCTGACTACTAACACAATATGGAAACAAGATCAACCGGGAACAAAGGCGAAATGACACAAAAACTACACTGATGCGTAAAGGCCTTCAAGGCACACAGAAGTTCGCCCATTTGTAGCTTGAGACTGTGAATGGAATGTCGTAGCTTCCGGCCATCTTCACTGGCGTGAACTTGAGGAACGCGACAACATGCAGAATTATAGTGTCCTTTTTTCCTAAGTTCACTTCCGATGCTTGGTCTGGTTCGGGCTTCAGCTTTTCGCTCGTCTGTGGCGAGTTTTTCTGGGGATTTGCTCCGGCATTTCCAATGTTCTTGTTGTCGTCTGGTTCTGTTGGCTTCGGCTGCTTCAGCTCACTATCTTTGTTTGGGTTGGCACTGGGCTTTTTGTTCTTCTTTCTTTCTGCCTGTTCTCGGGAAATTTTCGCGGATTCTTCCAGTAGCTTGTCTTGTGCAACCTTACTTTCCTCCTGCTTATTCTTAACTGTCGCATTTTGTCCCTGGGCTGCTTCTTCGTCTGCTTCCGTCTTTTTTTTCTTCACTGCCTTTTACTGTTGGTTCTTTCTCCATTCAAAATTTTTCTTCACCTTCTTTTTCCGCAGCACCTGCTTGAAAGTTCATCACGCTTTTTCTTGTGCTTAGCTTCGGCTTCGTCTTTGTCTTTCAGCTTTCCTTCGCTTCCGGCAGACGTATTCGGCTTCGGTTATTGGCGTTTCTTCGTAGTAGGCACTTTACAATCTTCGGAGTTCTCTAGGTGTGGCAGGGCTTGTTCGAAAATCGCGTGTACGTGTCTTTTGGTGACGGCAGCAGGCAAAACTTCTGGTTCCTGGAGACACTGGGCGTCCCTTGTTTCCAACGGGGTGCTTGGTGTTTAGAGCGAAAGATGGCCTGTGGCGTAAACTCTGGAGCCATAGTTGGCAAAGGTATGACGGAAATGTCCATAAAAATCCTTTCATCATGACATTCAGGAGATCCTCGAAAGGTACCAGTCATTGGTAGCTCAAGCGAGTCAGGCCTTGACAGCTTCCAGCATGTACGCAGCTGGCCACGTGAGAAAGTTTGGCGTTCTGCGTATATGCTGAATCCTCTCGCGCACTGAAACAGCGTCTTTGGAGCCATCGAAGGGACTGATGTTGCTGCTAAAGTCAAAGATAACCTGAAATGCTGGCACTGGTTGGGGTTGTGCTTCGCCGGCCAAAATCAGTCAATGTAGCTCGGTCGATATCAGTCTGTCCTTTTCTTGAACGGCGTATAGCACTTCGCGAGCTATTATGGTGTCTCTGTAGTTTGAGTTCGTGTATCCACTGCCAGTCAGGCTGACTCTGTCGTCGCTGCGTTTTATAACAGGGTTAGGGTTACCAGTGTCATGTATCGAATAACTCGCGCTTATTCTTCCCTTCGCGACTGGAAGACCCTCCCACTTCTCATATGTTAAATTCACCGGGCATCCTTGAAGTACTGTAAACCTTGTAATGAAAGAATACATTACTCTCACATAATAAATACATGTACACAGGCCTACTCAAACACTACACAGGCTACAAACGCCACACAGGCCTTGCCTTGTCGCTTAGAAGATGTTGGCTCATAACAACAAGAGA